CAACTTCAAAAATAAAAAAATGGACTTTACTGACGAGCAACTCAAATATTGTCGTAGATCATAAAGAAAGGACTCTACTGACGAGCAAATCAAAATTAGTTTAGATAATAAAAAAAAGACTCTACTGACGAGCAAATTAAAAATTCAAGTTAGATGATAAAGAAAGAACTCTACTGACTAGCAAATTAAATTTAATTTAGATGATAAAGAAAGGACTCTACTGACGAGCAAATTAAATTTAGTTTGGATGATAAAGAAAGGACTCTACTGACGAGCAAACTAAATATCATCATAGATATTTAAGCAAGGACTCCACTGACGAATAATTAAATCAGCAACTTCAAAAATAAAAAAATGGACTTTACTGACGAGCAACTCAAATATTGTCGTAGATCATAAAGAAAGGACTCTACTGACGAGCAAATTAAAATATCTTTAGAAATAAAGAAAGGACTCTACTGACGAGCAAATCAATTAGCAATCTAGATGATAAAATTTCCTTCAATGATTCTACTGACGCACGAACTGTTAATTGACATGAGAAGCAAATAAAGGACTCTACTTTTTTTTAATTTATTTTCATTCTGCAATCTTTAAAAATAATTACATTTAGCAGAGAATGCTGACCAGTTCACAATTGATTGCTTACAAAGGACTCTACTGACGAGCAAATAAACACAATTGTCACATGAATTATTTATGTTAGTGCGTTGGAAAGTAAATTCAACTAGCTGTAAGTGGAATTCTGTTAAGGCAATTAAGGCATCGTGCCTTAAGGCAAGTTGCTGAACTTCCCGTGCCAAAAATTATTATTTTTTTAAAAACGATTAACATTTTGAAAAAATTTCACTTCGAAAAAATAAGATTTTTTAGAAATTTTAAATCGGACAAAAAATTACTTTTTTTGAAAAAAATTTTTTTTTTAAAAAAAATTTTTAAACAATTTTTTTTATAAAAATTTTTTTTTTGAAAAAATGTTATCTTCATTTTGATATATTTTGGAAGATCTGAACTTTTTTTCAAAGCAATCGTACTGCTTTAACTGCATAGAGACGAAATATAGAAGCGCGTAAGCGCCGCGTCGCTGTAAACGGAAAAACAATAGTACGGAACCCATAGGAATGTAAACAAAACTTATACTTATTGTTAAAATCTCAATAAAATATCTGATAATTTGATATGCATATGTCTAATGTCTAATGATTATTGTTGACCGCCAAATGTTATTTTTTTTTAGTTTTTTTTACTAGATCTCCGAAACCGCTAGTCCTATCTTCATGAAAATTTGATCAAATCTTCATCCTGTTAATACAAGTAAAATGTTTTTTGAACTATACAAATCGGACGCTCCGTGCTCTTAAAAATTGAGTTACCGTTTTTGGCACTTTTTGCCCCGTATCTCCGGAACGGCTAGAATGTTTTTTGAATTATTCAAATTGCTTCATCCGTGTTCCCGAAATCGTCGACGAAAATTTGTATCCGAACACACACACATGCACGCACACACACACACACATGCATCAATTTTCTCCAAGGTATGCCAACATATTCAGAAAACCTCTGAAACGTGAAGATATATAAAAATTTTCATTTTCGATTTTTTTCGATTACTTACCCTATGGAAAGTTAATTATAAATAAATCAATTTATCATCTCCAGAACATTACAATCGTCATTTCATTCAAATTCAATTTCAAAAAAAAAATAGTTGCCAAATTTACACAAAACTGAAAAAGTGCTCCGGCATAGTCACAGTCTAAACGCATTTGCAAATAATTCTGTGCGACATTTTCACTTATACTGTGCTCAGCTTGGCGGCATTTTCACATTTTCAATAATTTTCACAAAATTGGAAAAGTGCTCAGTACACAAACAGTCTAAACGCACTTGGGTAAACATTTGTACCAGAGTGGCGCTTAGACTGTTCCTAGCTTGGGTGATTTTTTGAATTTTTAGTCCAAAATTACAAAAAAAATTTTTTGAAAAAAAATTAGAAACAAAAATTTTTTTTTTTCCAAAATCAATTGTTTTGTTGAAAAAAGCAGAAAGTTCTTT